TCTCTCTCTCTCTCTCTTACTCTCACTCTTTCTGTCACGCCATTCGACGACTTGCTGCTGCTGGTGGTTCTAGTGCTGGCAGACTGCTGGTGGACTCTGCACACTGGGAGCCAAACTAATTCGCGGCCGAGCACACAGGCACTTGATGGCCACTCTTGGGCGAGAGCCTTTTCGGATGGCAGTGCAGTTTACTTTCCGATTGAGCCAATTCTCAATAGGAGACCAATCCGGGCTGTGTGTGTGTGTGCGGATGAGTTGCAGTTCCAAGTTCTCTTGGTGGTAGTTGCTGTTGTTGGGGAGAAAGACGCTGTCTATCGGCCACGAGTGTCAGTGCAATCAGTCTCCTTTTCATTCTCTCTACTGGCAGCCTAGACTGACACTGAAGTCCTGGCTGAAGAGCTGCACCAGCACCAGCATTAGCGGCTGCAGCAAAGCGCAGCTACAGACAATCCGCTACAGGCAGCTTAACTCATCATTAACGCGTGATGAGCGAGCACTGAGAATAATGCAAACTAGGGAAAAATAATTGCAATTTGCATGGAAGGCCATTAGTGCAAGGCACACTGAGCTGCTCAGTGGAGCAGTGAAAAACTCAAAGAAAGCGGTAGAGATAGAAATGAAAGTGTGAAGCAGTCGGAGTGACGCAATTAATGGCATTGTCTTCGGCCTGTGCCTTCTTCTTCCCTCTGCTGCCGCCTCCATTCACTCATTGCCATTTATGCCGTTCTTTTTTCTTGCCATCCACAGGATACTCGCCGAGCGATGCTCGTGCCATGCAGCTGGAGAAGAGCAGCAAGGACGCTTCGATCTCTGCAAGCCACACCATCAACACGCGTAATCGCAACTTCCTCGACCTGAGCAACAAGAAGGGTGGCTACAACCTGTTCAAGGCGGCCAACAGTAAGAGCAACAACAAGGGAGGCGGCGGAGTGGGTCGAGCCAATGTCCACTACAACAGCGACGAGAATGAGGACTCGGTGACGTCGCTCTCGGAGAACGAGGAGGACTCCGATGACAATCTGTCTATCTTCACCACCTCGGAGGACAACTACGACTCGCAGTCGGACGACGGCGAGGTGCGCGTGTCGAAGCGAGGTCGCAGTGGTCGCAAGAAGAACGTCACCGTCAGCTACACCTACGACGCCTTCTTCATCAGCGACGGTCGCTCTCGCAAGCGCAACATCAACGGCAGCAGTGTGGTGTCCACGCCCACCGAGTCCAAGGAGCGCACCCGTTACACGTGCACTGAGTGTGGCAAGCACTACGCCACCTCCTCCAATCTCTCCCGTCACAAGCAGACGCACCGCAGTCCGGACTCTCAGCTGGCCAAGAAGTGTCCCACCTGCCACAAGGTCTACGTCAGCATGCCTGCTCTCGCTATGCACGTGGTAAGTCGCTGCTGTTCTTGCTCGTTATCTTTGTTTACAGTGGCTCAGTAGCTTCACACACACACACGCACACTTCTGAACTCTGACTAATCAAACATGTCTCTCTTGTCCCACACTAGCTCACCCACAACCTAAGTCACAAGTGCGATGAGTGCGGAAAGGCTTTCTCTCGACCATGGCTCCTGCAGGTAGGTGACTTCTCTTGATGTTGCTTCTCTTGATGATGATGATTATGTTTCCCCTTTGTTTGATAAAAGCAAACACTTCAACAATGTGACTAATTTGTTTTCCCAATCTCATCCTTTGTCATTCAGGGTCACATGCGATCACACACTGGTGAGAAGCCGTTTGGATGCGCACACTGCGGTGAGTAGGCGTCCTTCTGTTTTTCATTTTTGTTTTTGTCCATTTCCTTACTAATTAGCGACTGCCTCTCAACAGGTAAAGCATTTGCCGATCGCTCCAACCTGAGGTAAGTGGCGTATTGAATTAGCATGCATTGGAACTGCACTGCAACTAGCATATAGAGAGACAGTCAAGAGCAGACAACTTTGCGCATGCTGACAGAGAAGTGCCACTCTCTCGCCGCCACTTACTACCCTCACTCACCGTTACTCGGTGCCGGCGGATCAAATGTGGCAGATGCCAGAAAGTGTAGAGTGTGAAAACCGAATTGGCCTGTTCGTTGAATTAAAAGTAGTTTTAAGTTATTGGCAGAGGCCATTTATTAGAGTTGTCACAGTTGAAGGCTGGGCTCGGGTGCAGGGAAGGGGGCACACTGAGTGCCTTCAGAGTGATAGACGCGAAAAGGCGGCCGTTGTCTCCTGCCAGTGTGCACTACCCTTGATTCTACAGTACCGAAGTACTCTACTGGTTTTTCCTGTAAAGTAATCATGGCAATAAATTACTGCTGAATTAGCTTGACCTGTAGTGTAACTCACTGAGGGCGCACAAAAGGATAGGGTAGGAGGAGGAGAAAGACAGGAGGAGAAGAAGATTGTTTCAGTGAACCTGGCCAATAAATACATTTTAGCTGTTAGCAAAAAAGAGTAGGGCAAATGGGATACTGTAGTTGATGGCAGTGTAGCTGGCAGCGACGGCGAGTTCAAGTCTTTGGGGACTTTGGTGCGAAGCAATTGTCTCCACACCGCAGCTCACATCACACGGCATCAGCACCATCAGCAATCGCAGAAGCTGACTCCAAACCACTTATTTTTTCCTTCTCTTTCCACAGAGCCCACATGCAAACCCACAGCGCTTTTAAGCATTTCCAGTGTCATAAATGCGGCAAATCGTTTGCTCTGAAATCGTAAGCATCGAATTCGCTCGTGCTCAATTCGACACGGGGCAATTGAAGCTGTCAATCCATTAATTGACCTTTTTTTCTCTCTCTCCTTTTCCATCTTTTCAATCTGTTTCCCTGCAGTTATCTGAACAAGCACTACGAGTCGTCGTGCTTCAAGGACTCCTCTGCCAATGGCAAGGACCACAACATCAGCTCTGGCAGCAGCTCACATAGCGAGGAGCAGCATAATGGTGGTGGCAGCAGTGGCTCCTCGTCACTGGAGAATTTGCCGCCTCTCGGCGGCGGTCGGAGCAACAATGCAAGCAACGGTGCGATCGGCGGCATGGCCAACTTTGGCGGCGCCAGCAACGGCGTCGGTGATAAGCAGGCCACCACCGTAACTCGTTCCAAGGTGTTGCAGCAAAACGGCGCCGGGCTACTCAAGCGAAAACTGAGCGAGCCCAAACTTGAGTAAGCAAAGCAAAGCAAAGAGCGAACAGAGGAGCGGACACACGAGCGGATTGAGTTAAATAAATAATTAGACAATGGCAGAGTAGGGTAGGACAGAACACCACCAAACACAAACTCATACACTTACACCGACTTTCACACAGACTAGACTAGACACACATTACACACAAACACGCACAAACACACAGACAAAGACAAACTCGGAGAAAAGGGAGAGAATTGCACTTTGCAAAGTTTTCCTTTCAGACGAACCCGGAGGACAGTGACACTACTGACAGAAAGCAGCTATCTCGGAAGACTGCAGCAGTCAGCAGACAGAGAGGACACTTACTCAGCCAGTCATTCAGTCACAGTTCACTCTACCGATCTGCGCCTTCTGTGCGCTGTGCTGGGCACAGGGCATCAGCAGCAGAAGCAGAAGCACTCAACACATGCCACTTTGCGATAATTGCTTTCTTAGTTCAGCAGTCACTTTCCAAAGACCACACTCACAAAAGACACCCAAACCTGCAGCAGAGCTGTCTGTAGAGCATGCCAATTCGAACCTCGTCCTCCTCATTCCTCTTTCTTCTTTTCCCTACCACCACACGTTTATTCAGTAGCAGCAACACCCGAGCAGACCAACTCTACTCGGGTGGTGGTTGTGCAACTCGTAACCCCATCACTTACCAACACACAAACAAGCACACTCTACTAGTCAGTACCACTACTAGTACTACCCAGTCCAAATCCTAGATATGCACTTTACTGTGTTGCATTCCTTTGGTAATAGCTTTAACAATTCTAGTCTCGTAACGTTAGGCAATCATTAAAGTAACAATCAATAAATATCTAGTCAAAGCCAATCAAACTCCACCAAAGCTCAGCTTCAAAGTCGAGTTTAATTCCGCAGGCAAAGTTGAAAAAGTGAGAGAGAAAGAGTGGGCACCAGTAGAACGAACCTTCAAACAGAACCTTATCAGTCTCAAGACACACACACACACACGTACACGCAGACAAAGATAGAGATAGAGACAGACAGAAAGACAGACAAACTGAAAAAAGACTCACAGTAGGAGCAGCAACAGCAGAATCAATTCAAAGCAAAGAATGAGAACGGGAATGACAGCTGCAGCACCTACGACCATCTATAGCACTTTAATTCCATTTCCATTTCCGCTTGCTTGATGTTTTGCAGTTTTTTTGAAGAAATGAAGGCGCCAAGCGACAGTGGTAATGGCTCTATTGGCCTAGCTTCCTAGCCTTCTTCTCTTCCCTTCTCTTGCAACAGCCAATTTGGCTCTATTCACGTAACAAGCCAATCTGGCTGGGTGAACTTGCCAACACACTAGTGCCAGTGCAACACCACCATCAGCACCACCGAAGCAGCACCATCATTGCGACTACTGTCACCGCTCGTGACATTTGCTCGCGGTCTGATGCTGCCAATCGATACGGCACAATGTTCACACTAATTAGTGTCATCTATCACGCCAGCTAGGTAGATCGATGACAGGCTGCCATGTTAAGGGAAAGGTGGCAGAAGAGCCACTGGCACAGGGGCCATCACCAGGCAGGGCAGCACAGGCACTCCTTGCCGCCTTTCACTACTAACAGCAAGCCACAGACGTCGACAACGATCCTATTAGAGAAAGAAAATGAGAGAAAATAAGAGAGCAAAGCCAAAGAAAAAAAAGTGAAAACTAAAGGAAGAGTAGCACACCATCAGCAGCAACAGCAGCACTAGCAGCATCTCGCCATACACTGAAGGTCCACTTATTATCGGCAAATGACAGGACTGAGACAAGCTCAAATGGACCAGTGAAATTGCCACAGCAGCAGCCAAGAGGAACACAGTGCACTGCTGCTCACTGGCGCCACTAATGCAAACAGCCTCCAGATTTAGATTGTGTTTACTAAGCTCTCTGTTTGGTGCAGTGTTCCACTCACCTCAGTAATACCTCGCAAATGGTCTTCAAGCCAATTAGTCATTCTGCGGCCAGCGGAGACTCTATCAGAGTCTCTTCAATGCCCTTTGCGTGTCAATGGCCACTCGGTGCTCGCTGTTTGCTTCTCTGTTTCGGTGTGCGCTTCCAATGATGGTTGCCAACAAAAGAGCGTCAATAGAACATTTGCTAATTCCCTGGCACCGTAAATGGAGAGCGATTGCAGTCGATCGTAATTATCTGCCCACAATTAGCGATCAGCAGTGTTGAGGAGAGGAGAGCAGTAAAAGCACTGTTTCTCTCTTATTCTTCATTTTGAACAACAAATAGCGTCGTAACTTTAAAGTGAGCCCTACTTGTGGCAAACGCTATTACCCGATTAGACCACCAACCGACGGCAAGAGAAGCAGCAGCAGCAAAAGCTTTTATTCGACAATATCTGCTTCCTCCTTTTTCTTCATCATCAACAGCAGAAACAGCAACTGCACTAGCAATCGTTTGTAGAGAGCAATTAGGAGCACATCGGGCCCGTCTCAATGCAATTCTTGAGCAATTGCTATCTATCAATTCCCCGACGCAATTCCAATTAGACTTGGCAATTGAAATTTTTTCAATCTATTAATTGGCCATCGTTTACTGCAGCAGTAGGTTATCATGTGGTAGCATTGCGCACAAGTGTGTCCTCAGTACATCCACAAGGCAACACAATTCACCGAGCTCCCATCTGTAGAGTTTTGGGCAACATAAAGGCACTGCAACAAAGTGGTAATCCTATTTGCCTGCTCCTCCTGAGATACATTCAACTTTATTTTCAGTTTTTTCATTTTTTTTCTCTGTCTAAGGGTAATTCTCATTAGGCAAACAAATTCTTAATTTAATTAATTCAATTTGCTAAATGAAGACAATTTGGCGATTTTGAGCACTAGCAAAAAGTGGTGATGGCAGCGGCGGTGTAGTGCAGAGAAGGTAGCCTGCGACAGGCTGCTGGAACACACATAGTTTTTTCTCCTTCTCTCCGTGTAATAGTACCACTTCTATGTCGTGAATCTATTATCACCGTCTGTGTCTTCATTTGCATAGAGAACACGCATCATTAGACTGTTAGCAATTAAAACTTGTCTTTAAAATCGTGTAGTTTTCTGTGTTTTTTTCCAGCACACACGGGATGTGGCAAAAAAGCAAGCCAGTAAGTGGCGCAATTAATCAAATCTTCTCTAATTAAACTTGCATAAGAATAGCTATAGGCTGCTATAGTGTCTCAAGTAGAGCAGGAAAGTTGAAGAAAGAAAAAGCTTGCAGTTGTATCACCACCGCCAATGGGCACTTTTTTCTCCTGCACAATCTTGCCTAGATCGGCAACAGCCGCAGTATACATAATTTGATTGTTTAATTCAATCTATCGTAGACTGCCTGCAATTAGTACTGACTGCACCACACTTCGCTGCTCATCCGCAACCACAGAACCAGCAAAAAAGGGTACCAAAAGCGCACTTGTGAAATGATAAATACAAGCATCTAATTAATTGGCTTTTGCTGTACACAAAGACAATAGCTTGCCACTAATTAATAACGATGATGATGCTGACTCAGTGTGTATGTGTGTGGTTGTCCCGTTTTAGCTTTGTCTCTTTGAACGTGTCAGTTTTGGCAAACACTTGCGGCCGAATCGAGCAGGTACCTGCGTTCACTGCGAGCTGTGCAGAAGCACTGATGATGATGGCGAGGGCACCAGTGGCGTCCTGCTAGGCGCATTCTTTGGCGCGTGTTGCACCTCAGTGCGCGCGCGATGCATCGTTTAGCACTGGGCGCCAGTGTACCGTCATTAGCTCAAAGAGTTGCTCTCTGATACTGATGATGATGATGATGGAGGAGTCATAATTGAAAAGTCATTAGAAGAACTACCCATTCCCAACAAAACAGATACATCAATTGAATTATCTCCTTCGGTGAATAGACCAAATTACGCGTTAAAAGTACGCGCTCTAAACGCGGCAGAAGTCCAGAGTTTTCGTTTGACGGGCGCGGCTGATGGCGTGGCCCATCAACTCGTCTTCTTTGGCGGAGATCAATGCAAATTGGCACACTGGCTGTCTGGCTGCCTGGTTCGCCTGGGCACCAGACAATCGATGGCCCTGTCTGCCTTTCATTTGAATCAAAGCTATGCCACCGCTGATTGGCATTTAATCGATTCCACCGAGCCGAGAAATGAGATGTGCGCTGGGTGGCAAATGCTGTGCGGGCAGAGGAACGGGCCAGATGAGGAGACGGGCAATCAACCAGTGCTGCCTTGCCTCGCCTCGTCTTCTCTCTCCCTCTCTGTCTCGCAGACTTTCACTCCACCGCCCGACAGTGTCTGACGATCTGCTGTCGCAGGGCAATTAAATTAAGCTAGAAGCGATAAGAACAGCTGAAACGGCAGTTCCAGTTCAAGACGGCAGTCTGTGGAGCGTCCGCATTCAGTCAACCAGGCGGCTCTTGTGACGCAAATAAAATAGCGAACTTTGATTAGATTGATTTTACTTAACGAATTTATCATTGATGCAGTGCAGTGCACCAGTTTTCTGCTCTCCTAGACTCTGCTCTCTCTCTCTCTCTTTCTCTTTGGAGCGGTTGTGTGGCAGTTCAGTTTTGCAGTGCCAATCGCAATGCATCAGATAGTCTTCACAATGTGGTACCAACTGAAATGGAGTCATTTACAAGCTGTTTGCTCTTTTTCCTGCGCGCCCCTTCCATCGTTTCCATCGCCTACCTAACCATCAACGACGTCGTTTAGGGTAGTTTGCTGTTTAGTCTGTATTTAGTTGTCTCTCTCTCTCTCTCTCTCTGCCTGACTATCAGCAAGTGCAAGTGGAAACTAGTTACTTAATCGAAATGACTTGCCTAACCTGCGTCACAGTCAACTTCAACACAATTCAGCAATTCAACTTTCTTTCACTCTTTTTCTCTCTCTTTCTCTCCCACTTTTTCCACTCTGTTTCGGTCAATTTGAATTTGGCTGCTTAGCGGTAATTGACTCTATTGGCTTCTGACAGTCTGCGAACAATCAATGCACCCCCGAAATGCGACGAGACAATCAAGC